ATATAACATTCATATGACTTTATTAATTCAAAAACGTATAATAAAATTCTTGCAACACAGAGCATGTACCCAAACATGACTGCATGCACACACAAGGAAGATTTTAAAAGATCAGGGTGTCTGCTTTTGTCTTTATGAGTCTTTTTCTTGATTTTTTAAACAAATTATTTTTAACTTCTTTTTAACAATGAGAGCTACATCTTTTTTTTTTTGGTTTTACGAGACAGAGTTTCTCTGTGTAGTCCTGGCTGTCTTGGAACTCACTCTGTAGACCAGGCTGGCTTCAAACTCAGAAATCCGCCTGCCTCTGCCTCCCAAATGTTGGGATTAAAGGCGTGCGCCGCCACCACTACCTGCGAGAGTTACATCTTAATGGTGGGATGCAGTCCACATTCTACACACGGTTCCCTGTTTTCATTCTCAGTATCCTTTGTTTTAGTTTGTGTCCGTTACTGTTACATGCTAAAGACTAAAAACAGCCATTAGCTGGCCTCTTTCTCTATTGACTTTTCCTGACTAGGCTTGTGTGCATGACAAATGTGAGCATGGGTGTATACGTAGTGTATCCATGAAGTAACTACCATCAAGGAGAATACAGTGAGTTTCTTGCCTCACTAAACATTCTTTTCATTTATTTTCTTAGTATGGGACTTAAAAAGAAGTATCAAAATATGTTAGTAAAATAGAAGGCATATCTTGAATGTATATGTAGAAATATATATTATGAAACATCAGAACTGTGGAATAGAGATTTTCACTCTTTTTCCCCTACAAATTGAACAGTAAATGATTTTACTTAAATCTATGGATACAAGAAAATCCAAACATGTTAGAAAATCCATAATGTACTTGGAAAAATAGAATTTCAATCATTTTGTAAGATTTTTTTTTAAACTCAGATTTCAGTTGTACTTGAATTAATCTGAGTTAAATTTAGGTAAATGCATATCTTTTATTATTTTTCAAGCAGGAAAGAAGTGAGTGTAATTAATATAATATACTTTATTAAAAGTCACAACTGGATGACAATAAACAGTAAGATAATCACTGACAGACGTAACTCTGCACCATCACAGGATGGAAGCAAACAGAAGCCTAAGAAGGGAGAAAACAAAGAGATGAAGGAAATACACATTTATTCTCCATGGTCTCTGGGACCAAAGAATTTATAAGATGCTGATTTCCGAAACTGTGGGCTGCATATTAGTGAGGACTGTGCCCTTATGTTTGTTATTATTGCCCTAACTCCCTACCTCTTAAAACCAAAACTTAAATGGGTCCTTTTATTAAGCCATAACTACTTTTGGCCTCCTAACTACCATACCAGTAAAAATCTACTTGTGACATGATAATTTGTCTCTGTGTTAGGCTACGTACATGCCCTTACTTAACCTGTTGAACGTGGCTTCTGAGAACCAGCAAGATAACCTAGCAGATACAGAGGCTTACCACCAAGCCTGACAAACGGTATTCAACTCCTGGGACACACGTGCTGGAAGGAAAGGACCAACTTTGACAAGCTGGTGAAAGTTAGCTCCACACAAGGCACCATGACACGAGTGCTAAAGCACATACGCTCTACCCTCACATATACACAATATATTTAAACATGGTTATTTAGAAGAAAATGCCTTCATAGAGTCTAAAGCCAAAATTGGATATACTGACATCATTCCAGCCACAGTTTTTTGTAATATTGAATCTCTGGAAATCAATACATACAGCATGTAGACTTATATGATCATTTCAGTTGGTGCAGAAAAAAATCTTTATAAACATTCAGCATTCTTACATGATAGTGGCTCCCCACCCTGAGAAACTAGGAATAGAAGAAAATGCCTCAATGTAATAAAGCCTATGTACATGTCAATCACCTCCTGGAAGCAAGCCAATTTGTTCCCAGGAAATGAACTTTTAGTATACTGCTGAATATGATTTTAAGATTATTATTGAGATTTTTTTTGTATTCACATTCAATAAAGAAAATTGCTCTATAATTTTATTTTCTTAAAACCATTCTTTATCTGTGTGTGTCTGTGCACGCACATCCACTTACTATGGTGCATAGGTGGCGCTCAGAAGGCAACTTCTGAAAGCTGGTTTTCATTTCCCACTATGGATTCTGAGGCTCAAACTCAGATCAGCATGCTTGCGCCACCAGCCCTTTCACCCACAGAACCATTGCCCCAGACACTACAGTCCTTCTTTTCCTGTTCTGTCATTATCTAGATTTGGTTTCAGTGTAAGAAATAACTTTGTAGAATAAAACTGGTAGTGTTCTTTGTTTTTCTGATTCATACAATGGTCTAAAAAGCACTGATGTTCATCTTTTTTACTAAGTTTAAACACATTTATTTTTAGTGGAGATACATGACATTATTTTGTCCTTTAAAAAACAATGTCTCCACCAGGCAGTGGTGGCGCACGTCTTTAATCCCAGCACTTGGGAAGCAGAGGCAGGAGGATTTCTGAGTTTGAGGCCAGCCTGGTCTACAGAGTGAGCTCCAGGACAGCCAGGGCTACACAGAGAAACCCTGTCTCGAAAAAACAAAAACAAAAAACAAAAAAACCAATGTCTCCATTCCAAATAAATCATGATCAAAATAAAGAGACCGAGGTATTAGTCCTAGTGTTCTATAAATTACAAGCAGCAGCCAGTTATGGTGACCGGTGGTGATCAAAAATATTCAAAAATATTTTAGTTTGTTAACATATTCCCATTTCTAAATGATCCTTACAGAAAACCATTATCTGACTTGGCATGGTGGTAAATCCCTTTAATCCCAGCACAAAAAAGACAGAGGCAGGCAGATTTCTGTAAATTCAAGGCTAGCCTATTCTACATAGTGAGTTCCAGATCAGACTACAGAATGAAACCAATTAAAAACAAATACAAATAAGAAAATCCTATATGGAGTCACATCACCCTTATGGTAGTCCAGAAGAGCAAACACGCCATCTGGATTCATGTTTTAACCAATAATTTAAAAAAAAAATGGTAGCTACTAAAGTTAGCTGTACAAAGTGTTTACTTTCTTCTGAATCACCTGTCATAAAACATTTTGCCCTTCTTAGCCTCTATTCTTTGTGTTAGGCTTTTTGGGTGAATTAATATAATCTTTGGGGTACTTCTTGTCTGTTTCTTTTGCAAGCTTTTTTCCAACA